AATTTAAAACTAACGTTCAATTATTTATATATATATAGTTTTTGACAAAAAATAAGACATTATTTTATTAACAATAAACAAATAGAATAATACATTCTGATTTTTACTATGGTACGCATTTTATGCAATTAAAAAAGAAAAACAATAACATTTCACTCGTCATATATTTACTTTGAAAGGTTTGTTTGTTTATTTATGACGAGCACGTGTTAATTTATATGAAAAAATTCTTGCGGTCATATGAAGTGTTTTCTTTTTCTCCGTGATATAGTTACCGAAAATCACATCGTTATGAGCTTGTATTCAATACTTCTCTTTAATATTTAAAAAAACAAAATTTTCAATTCTTATTAATACTAAAACCCGAAGTATATAAAAAATAATGGTTTGTCTTTCATTTAATTAGATTTATAAATACATGAGAAAAAATAAAGTGAAAAGAAGTGAAAAAAACATGAAGGATGAAGAAGAACTGAATGTATTATCGCTAAGTGAAGTTGCATTGCCCCATGTAGAGTTTGAAGGGTCAACCTTTGCTGAAACTGATAATGTTGGATTTATATATGCATTACTCGTTGTTTGGTTTATCCAACTTTGATAATAAGCTACACGAGTGTAAACTCCCATAGCTTGTGCTTGTGCACATCCATAACCGTAACTAGTCAAACCAACTAATTCCCATTGATTACTCGTTGTAAACATCATTAGAGGACCACCTGAATCACCTTGGCACGTATCTTCGAAAACAAAATATAAAATAAAATTTAAAAAAAAAAGAGCATTGAATGTTTATTAACCTTTGCTACCACCTGGGACACCAGCACAAAGTTGTTTTTGTGGATCATTTAATACATTAGAACAAGTCGAAGCAGTATAGGCAATTGTTTGTATGGTTACTTGTTGAAGATATAATGGTAGAGAACCACCTTCCGCCAAGGTTCCCCATCCAACAGCTACAACCTATCGAATGATATTGAACAATAACTGTAAGAGCAAATAAATAAGATATATAGTATAGTTTACATATAAACTAGCTGGTGGCCATTCACCAGCAGCTAATGTAGCCGAAGATACAGATGGTATACAAACAGGCTTTACTGCTGTGGACATTGTTAATGGAGTGCTAAGTTGTATTAGAGCAATATCATTAGCTTTAGTACCACTATTATAACTTGGATGTACAGTGATACTAGATGCTGCTCGAGATTGACCAGCAAATCGAGCACTTGAGCCAGCATAAATAGTTACTTTTGATGCTGCAACTCCACTCATACAATGTGCTGCGGTAATGATCCATGTGCTTGATAAAATAGATCCGCCGCATAGTGCAGAACCAGTAGCAGTGCCAATTTTTATTGACACAGCCCAACCCCAATTGTTTGTTCCTGCTGTTTCTCCACCAACAATACGAGTAACTGATTGTGAACCAGACGAACATCCACAAGTTACACTTGAATTACATGAATAAGTATACTGATAACTTGGTCCAATAGTAATAAATAAAAATGTCACCCAAACAGTGATCATATTACTTCTAAATGTTAATTTCATTTATTCGTTTGAGCAAATGATCCAGTGCGGAATATAAAAATAATTGCAGCTATGTGACAACGTCCTTTTCACCACCTTGTTTTCTTCCGAGCTGTTTTTGGTAATGACTACTTATATGATTTGAATTGAAAATTTCTTTTTTTATTTTACGTGATTGAGTAAACATCGATAAAGTCTCTCGTCATCTTACTCACGACGGATATTTCTCTTCTAATGCAAATTCACCGGTGATTCTAGAGAAGAAAAAATCCGTCTATTGAATTTTTTTTCTCGTTCTGTTTCCTTTGCAAATGCACGCAGTTGTGTTTCAATAGAAACAACAAAATACTGAATAAATTTATCATAAATTTATCGAAAAACATGCCGTCATATATATTTTTTATGTGAGAAATTCTTACCGAAAACACACAAACAAAACACATTTAAGAAAAAAAAACTTTAACCTGTTGTAGTATGATTCGTGCGCAAAAAGATGTTTTTGGGAGCATTATAATGACGTATATAGTCAATACAAAACAAAATAATTATAAATAGCTATCATATTTATTACGTATGAACAAAAGTTTCTTTTTAGGGAAAAAGATTTTGTCAAAAATATCTGTATAACATCAAAAAGTGTTTTTATTTTTTATTAAATTATTATTAAGAAGTTTTCAACTAGAGATATATATGTCATAATTCTACAGTTCGGTTTGCCGCTCTAATGGTATGGAATTATATTAGAATATTTTTTATCTATACCTGATATGATAATCATCTATGAATTACATGAACAAAAACATTGAGCATTAATTTCTTGGTATTTTGTGAATTAATTTTCTTAATATAAAATCTGCCTTCGTCCAGTGTTTTTTAAAATGGTTAATTTGTGTTAGTGAACGTAAAAGAAAAAAAGCTCATTATAATCAAGCAACTCATCATCGACATGATAAACTTATACGACATAGTTTACGTCGATTACTTATTTATACAGATTTCACAATACAAAGTTTAAATTGACTAAAAGTCGAAACCTATTGAGATGACGTTATCTATACAGTTTTAAATATTATTCTGTATATTTTTCCTACTAGATAAGATATTAGTTGAATTTTTCAGTTGTAGAATTTAATTTTATGTAAAACATTGGATTGATAGACTAGAGTTTATCTCAATCAAAGTTTCTTGTTATATTAATACAGAATATACACTAAAAATGAACTTCATCAAACTGATGCTTTGATTCAAGGATGATTAGATCATCCAACAATATTTCAGACATTATTACTTCAGCAGTTACATGATAGTGGTTTCAACATAGATAGTGATGAAGAATCATTTTCAGAATAATACATTTCCATTCTTTTGATTATATTTGTAAATTATCCAAAATTCCAAAACTAACGTTCAGCTATTTATATGCATATAGTTTTTGACAAAAAATAAAGCATTATTGTATTGATAATAAATAAATAGAATAATACATTCAGATTTTTAGTATGTCATGTATTTCATGTAATTAAAAAAGAAGAAAAAATATAACATATCGCTCTTCATATGTTTATTTTGAGTGGTTTCTTTGTTTATATGCAACGAACACGTGTTAATTTATATGAAAAAGTTTTCGAGATCATACAGAATTTTTTCTTTTACGACTATTCCATGAAAATATTATTTTTCTCCATGATGTAATTATCCAAAATCACATCATTATCAGAATATATTCAATACCATTGTTTAATATTTAAAAAAACAAAATTTTCGAGTTTTATTAGTAATGAAATCCGGAGTATACAAAAAATAATGGTTTGTCTTTAATTTAATTAGATTTATGAATATATGAGAAAAAAACAAAGTGAAAAGAAGTGAAAAAATACGAATGTTGAAGATGAAGATGAAGTAAATGTATCATCACTAAGTGAAGTTGTATTACCCCATGTAGAGTTTGAAGGATCAACTTTTGCTGAGGCTGATGATTGCGGGTTTACGTACGCATTACTTGTCGTTTGATTTATCCAACTTTGATAATAAGCTACACGAGTATAAACTCCCATAGCCTTTGCTCCTGCACATGGATGACGGCCATAACTAGGCAAACCAATTAATTCCCATTGATTGCTCGTTGTAAACATCATTAGAGGACCTCCTGAATCTCCTTTGCAGGTACCTTCAAAAACAAAATATTAAATAAAATTAAAAAAAGCAAAAACACTGGATCTAGTTCACCTTTTCCGCCACCTGGAACACCAGCACAAAGTTGTTTTTGTGGATCTTTCAATACATTAGAACAAGTCGAAGCAGCATAGGCAATTGTTTGGAGAGTTACTTCTCGAAGATATCTTGGTAGTCGACCATTTGCCTGTAACTGGCCCCATCCAACTGCAACAACCTATCGAATGATATTGAACATTAATTATAAAAACAAAAATAAGATATATAATG